GAGGGTGGTGAGGTCTCCAGGTTGCCCAGAGCAGCTTTGCTGTCCCATCCCTGGAAGTGCCCAAGGCCAGGCTGGACAGAGCTTGGAGCAGCCTGGGATAGCGGGAGGTGTTTGTTCCCCTGGCAAGGGCTGGAACAAGCTGAGCTTTAAGGTCTCTTCCAACCCAAACCATTCTGTCATTCTAGGATTTGAGCACTTGGACTAAAGGGGATGCTTGGTGATGCTTTTGTCCTTTAACTTATGCACCTTGTTAAGTTTTGTGAGTCTCCAGAGGGGTTTGTGTAACTGCAAAACAGAACGCAGAGCAACACAGAGGAAATGAAATGATTTCCCTGAGGCCCAGCACATGCCTAGTGCAGGAATTCAGCTCAAAGAGAGGTGACAGGCTCTGTGAATGAACTAATAACTCTCTCCTGAGGGTCTCCTTTTCCCTCTCAGTATTTCTGCAGTGCAGTGGCTCTGTAATGCTGACAAGAAGTCCCACAGCCCCCCCAAACGCCTCTACAGGTTCTTCTCCACTCTCTACACTGCCCTGGTAAGTGCCACCCTGGGACAGGGTTCACAGGGGTCTCATGTTGAGGGAAGAGATGGAAATCTGGCTCCATGTTTCAGAAGGCTTGATTTATTATTTTATTATATATATTACATTAAAACTATACTAAAAGAATAGAAGAAAAGGTTTCATCTCAGAAGGCTGGCTAAGCTAAGAATAGAAAGGAATGATAACAAAGGTTTGTGGCTCAGACAGAGAGTCTGAGCTAGCTGGGCTGTGACTGGCCATTAATTACAAACACCCAACACAGGCCAATCACAGATGCACCTGTTGCATTCCACAGCAGCAGATAATCAATGGTTACATTTTGTTCCTGAGGCCTCTCAGCTTCTCAGGAGGAAAAAAATCCTAAGGAAACGATTTTTCATAAAAAGATGTCTGCAACACCACCCTCCACCAGCCAAGGCTCTGCTGCTTTTATGGCTTTGCTTTTTAGAAGATACTTCAAGCAGGTTGTTTTAAGTAAATGCTGCTCTGAGGGCAGCCACTGCCTTCCTGCCTGATGCTGCTTCTCATCAAAGTTGCACTTGATGATCTTTTTCTTTTCCAAACCTAGCAGTTCATGATTCTGGGATAGCCCCTGTGCCTCACTGGCTCTGTGGGCTGAGCAGCTCTCCTGGGAGCCTTGTCCTGGAGGTTTTGGGATGGAGGGAGCTCATGTTTGGGGCTGGGATGGTGACCCAGAGGGGTCACCTGCACTGGGGCAGGTGTGTGACCTGCTCTGTCTCCTGCAGGCCCGAGGATCCCGAGCTGTGCTGCAGCTGTACCCCGAGAACTCAGAGCAGGTATCAGTCATTTACTGTTTGGGGCTCTGAATAATGTTCTTCCACATCAAGGCACTGTTTCTATCCCCCCTGCCACTTCTAGAGCTCTTCAGGAGCCCATAAAAATAACCTGTAAGGAGGATACCTTGTACAGGTTCTGTTGTTTCATAGATTTACAGGAATTTATAGGATTTATAGATTTATGTGCTCTTTGTTGACGGAATGACAAAACTATTTTTTGTCCCTTTAAAATGGAAATAAGCTTAGAAGTTTTTCTTCTTAATTAAGTGGAAAAAAAATCCATAAGACTTAAAAGACTTCACCTCAAACTTAAAAATAGCTAATTAGACAAAAGCCAAAAAGTCCTGCTTAAGCAATTTACTAGAAAAAGAAGAGAACAAAGAAACTAATTGCTTTTGTGAGGTGTTTTACCAGGGGCAGGAGGGCCTCTTGCACCTAGCTCGGTTTTTCTCTGTAAAAAGTTTTGTTATTTTGCATTTTATTAAAAGGCACTACCACAAAACACTACCACAAAAACCATCCTGCTGATTTTATGCCTTCTAAGGTAGCTGAGCTGTCTTAGGTGTGAAATAAATCTCCAAAAGCTTATGAGACATGGCTCAAAGAAATGCATGTTGCATAGATTGTCTTGGGCTGAGCCTTAAACTGGCAAGGAATTAGTGTGTGGGTGGGGGTGCAGAGCTTGGCAGGAGGAGGAGCAGTCCCTCTTGGGAATGCCCAGCCTGGGGTGGTGCTCCCAGAGCTCTCTTGGCCTTTCCTGGGGGATGATTGCTCATTAACTTTGTACCTGCTCCTTTTTCCAGCTGGAGCTCATCACTGCCCAGGCCATGAGAGCTGGATTCACAGGGGGAATGGTGGTGGATTACCCCAACAGTGCCAAAGCCAAGAAGTGAGTCCCGGTTCTCTGTGTTTGGGGTGAAGCCTGGGTTTGGCAATGTTTGTTTGTTTTTTTTTCCTTTTGCTTTTCCCTTTCCCTGAGCTGTTCTCTCTCCCATTATTCAGTTCTGGACAGAGCTTAAAGCTTTGCTCTGACTCTGTTATAAACCATCTCAGTCTTGCCTGGGGACTGAGATTTACATGCTGAATCCCACATTCATGCTCCTTGTTCTTTCAGGTTCTTCCTCTGTCTCTTTGTTGGGACATCTGGCACATTACCAAAGGTGAGGCTTTGAGATGTTGCCCTGGGTGATGTGGAGGAGCTGTGGGTAGTGTGGGAGCCAAACAGCTCAGTGAGTGCAGGTGTGACTTCATTTACACATTTTCTGGCAGTCACCAAGCCCTGCTCTCACATCATCACAGACTGGTTTGGGTTGGAAGGGACCTCCCAGCTCATCTTGTTCCACCCCCTGCCATGGCAGGGACAACTTCCACTGTCCCAGGTTGCTCCAAGCCGTGTCCAACCTGGCTTTGGGCATTTCCAGGGATGGTGCAGCCACAGCTGCTCTGGGCAGCCTTGCCAGGGCCTGCCCACCCTCACAGGGGAGAATTTCTTCCCATATCCAATCTAACCCTTCCCTCTTTAAAGCTGCTCTGCCTTTTTTTGTCATAATTTCTGGAAGACCAGTTTGTGCCTCTGGTCCTTGCCCTTGCAGATCCCTGAATTCCCCTTAGTTTAGAAGGGCTGTGCCTGGTCCAGAGGAGAACACAACTTCCCAATTTTGCTTTCCAGGGCCTTGGTACCGAGTGTGCCAGTGAAGAGCCACAGCAGGCAAAGTTCACCAATGAGAGGTACCCTGGGGGTGAGCTGCAGGTTCTCCCTGCACAGTGGGGGCCTTGGAGGGCTGAGCTTCACTGGGAACCACACTGCTGCTGGGGGAGAAGCAAGGGGAGGGGAAGGACAGGGCTGAGCTTTGCTGGGAACCACACTCCTACAGTGGGAGGGCAAGGACAGGGAGAACTCACAGCAGCCCAGGAGAGAACTGCTTTATCTTCCCAAGGGACATGGGAAATAACTTGTTTTGTTCCCCATGGCTCTTCCTTGGAGCTCTGGTTCTTACCTAGAGCTGTATCTGAGCAGTCAGCCAGCTGTGCTTTCTGTCCAGCTCTCCAGCTGATGCCAGGGTGTGGCATAGGGAATGTTTACAGGGCTCATGATGGAAGCAGGCTGCTGTGCCTGAGTCCTGGCATTCCCTTTTTTCTCTTAGTAGTGGCCTGGGGGTTTCTGCTGCTGGCCCTGTCTCTTCCCACAGCAGTGGTGCAGGGACGAGCCCCTCTTGCAGCCCTTGGGAGAGACAGAACAAAAACCAGAGGAAAGTTGTCATGGCTGCCAGGAGCTTGTGGCTGTCATGTTTTCCTGCCTCTTACATTGCTGTTCTCTGCTCACTCAGCCTAAGGGCTGTGTGGTCTTGGAGGGCAGCAGCAGAGCTGGGAATGTTGTAGGAAGCCTGACTTTGTCTGTCTTGCTTGGAGTAGAGCAGACAAGGGGGAGGTGGTTGTGCATGAGCCTGTAATGCCCTGAGACCCCAAAGAGCAGCATGGTGCTGGTGTGACATGGGGGAGCTCATGGGTCAGGATCCCTCAGCTCTGAGCCAGGGCTGGAATCAACCCCAACCTCCTCCTCCAGTGTTTGGAGTTTGGCCCCGTGCTGGCTCAGCCTCTTGCCTAGGATGGTGGGAGAGAAACTCACTACTTCTGGGTGACAATCCTGTGGGGCAGAGAAATGTGTCCCCACACTCAGTTCCTCTGCAGCTGCTGTCCCCTCTCCCCACAGGACACGGTTCAGGAATGTCAAGGGCAAGTCTGTGAAGAAAAGCAGGGACTGGATCCTGGAGAAGAAGGAGCGCAGACGGCGCCAGGGCAAGTGAGTCCAGCTGAATGCTGCCTCAGAGGCTGGCACTGCCCAGCCTCCTGGCACAGCCTCCTGGCACAGCCCTGCTCCCCTCCCCTGCCAGTGCCCTGAGCTGGGGCTGAGCTGTTCCTGCTGTTCCCACAGGGAGGTGCGGGCAGACACCAAATACACCGGGCGGAAACGGCGCCCTCGCTTCTGAGCTGCTCTGGACACTGCTGCCATGCAAGGTGGCACGGGGGTGCCTCCAGAGAGCCTCCTGTGGATGGCACAGATGGCACCCCACGCCTGGGGACTTGCTGGGACTGCTCACTGTGGCTCTTAAAGGTACAGACTGGCTCAGGTGCTGCCGAACAGCAAAGCTTCCAGCCCTGTTTTGCTGCTGAAGGTACTGACAGTGCTCTGGCAGTGCTCTACAGTGCCATCATCACCTTCCTGAGTGCAGGGAGCCAGCTGAGCTCCAGGTAAGCCAGGATGTGATACCTAGTTCCTCACTAAAGAGTCAAAGAGTTGCAAGTGTTTGCTGGTGTCCTGTGTCCTGCCCTTGGTGCTGGGAATATTGAGGTGGGAATAGAGTACCTCATTCCCTGCCAGCTTCCTCTGCCTGCAGAGGAGCCACACTGTCAAGGTGTGGATCCATGAGGAAAAAGGTACTTCATTCCTTGCCAGCTTCCCCTCTGCCTGCAGAGGAGCCACACTCCCAAAGTGTAGTTCAGTGAGGACAAAGTTGCTCCTGACTCAAGTGTTACTCCACTACCCTGTTGGTGCTTGGCACCAAGCCCACTCTGTTTGCTTCAATGCTTCCAAGGTGCTGGGGCTGACTGGACCCCCCCATCACCTCTTCCCCTGAAACAAGGAGAAGTGCCACCCAAAGCTGTACAGTTACAAATGTTTATTCTACATAAAAATTCCACAAAATGGGAAGCTGTTTTGCACCCAAAGCCTCGGGAGAAGAAAGGAATGCTAGCAGGAAGGGAAAGAGGGAAGGAGAAGAGAGGCAACATACAGTGTCATCCAGCCCAGTGAGACAGAGCAAGCCAGGGTCAAGATCCACATAGAAAACAAGGACACTTAGCTCACAGTACAGCAACAGTAGAACTCCACAGGGGGCTCGGAAAGCCTTCAAGTACATTAATTACAAAAAAAAAAAAAAGAAAAAACCCAAAAAAACCCCAATCCCCAGTTCGAGTGCAAGCTGTGCGTGCCCCACACTGCTCATGGAATACTGCATCAACACGCTCCCGGCGTGGGGAGGGCAGGTGGCACCTGGAACAGAGGTGGTGGAACCCAAAGGACGAGCGGGTGCAGGGTGGGGGCTGGAAAGAAAAGGTGAAACGTCTTCCCAAAGCACAACCACACTTTTGGTGATTTGGTCTGTACATGCAACGACAGGTAGGTGAAAAGGAACTCAATGGGGCTTCCCGTAGTGCAGGGGTAATTATTGCACCAAAACACCCTCCCCTCACAGCGAGGACAGTGTGAGCCTGCCTGTGGGGCAGCAGTGGCTCCTTGTCTCCCTGCCCTTGGAGCCCAGCACTGCTGCTGCCCACAGGATCCCAGCAAAGTGCCAGCAGCCCTGACTGCCCCATCTGGCTCCTGCTGCTGTGGGGGCTGCTGGCAGTGGTGGTGCCAACAAGGAGCAAGGGCCAAGAACCCCCCCGAGGCAGTTCCTGGCCTTGTGCCTTGACAGGGGTGCCACAGGCCTGATGTCAGGTGAGCTTGTGCCACTAAAGCCGCTGCCTGGAAGAAAAAAAAGTCACCTTGTGCTAGCAGTTGGCATGGCTGCAGGGCAGGAGCATGGCTGCAGGGCAGCAGCCTGGGAGGAGGGTTTCCCTGCCTGCCCAGTGTTATTGCTTCCTGGAGGGGCCCTGGGGCTCTGGCTGGCCTGGCAGAGCAAGCACGGAGGGCAGTGGCAGGGAGCTGCTGAGGGACAGGAGCATGGCTACTCCCTTTTCCCCTGGAGCAGAGCCCCTGCCCCTGCCTGCCTCCTAGCCCTGCCTGCACAGTCCTGGTGCCCCAAACCCTTCAGTGCCCGCAGGCTGCAGTGCTGGAGCTCACCTCAGTGCTGTGGGACTGTGAGAGAAGGGGGCTCTGGGCTGGGCTGTTCCCATGGCTGCACCCCGAGGGGCTGGGACTGGGCAGTGTGGGGAACCAGGCTGCACCCCCTTGCCAAGGGAGCTGCAAGCAGCAGGGGCTCTGTGGGGTAACAATGGCAGAGAAGCCGTGTCAGGGCTGGCCCTGGGGCAGGCAGCACTCTGGCTGCAGCCTCTGCCTCTCCCCGGCACCCAGGGGCACACACAGAGCCAGCGCCTGAGCCACAGCACCCTGCCAGTTTTGGAGCAGCCCTGGCCTGGTGGGAGCTGGGAGGTGACACTGCCCCAGGCTGGAATACTGGCTGCTATCAAGTGTCCCTTTTCTGCTGCCAGCACCTGGCAGCCAGCCCCTGTCCCAGAGTGGCAGCGAGTCCTACCCGGGGACTCCTGGGGTGCTTTGGCATGTGCACAGGCCAGCCAGAGCCCCGGGGTCTGCAGAGGAAGGTGAGGGCAGAGCCCTGGCCCTAGCCTGAGGCAAACAGGCAGTGGCAGTACTGGACGCCCCTGAGCTGCCAGTGAGACCCCCAGAGCAGCTGCAGCTGTGCCATGGGCACGGCAGAGGGCACAGGGCACCCAGGCTGTGCCACAGCTCCCACTGAGAGCAGGAGCCTCACTGGGTGGCTGGGCAGGAGGGCACGGTGCCAGGAGGTGGCAAACAGGCAGTGGGGCACTGGCCTGTTCAGAGCCAGACTGGGTACAGGAACAGGGAGGCTGCCACTCCTGGCTTGCAGGGGGCTGGAGGCAGCAAGGGCTGCTCCTGGCACCACAACAGGAGAGAGCCCAACTGCTTCTAACCCCCAGCATGGGTGTGAAGAAGCAGGGCTGGAGCAGCCCTGCTTGCAGGTGAGTGCTGCCAGGGCTGTGGGAGCCCCAAATCCCAGCAGGCAGAGTCCAGCCTGTGGGCAAGAGCAGCCAGGGCACTGTGTGCCAGGGCTGAGAGCACTGCAGGATGAGCAGCCAGGGAAATTCACTGGCCTTGGACTCTCTGTGCCACCCTGCCCTGTCAGGCCAGCATCCAGGAGCAGCACTGCCCCCCCTGTGCCCTATTCCTGTCCCCAGGCAGCTGTGATGGCCCCAGGCAGCAGCTCCTCATTCCACACTGCTCCATCAGGCTCCTCCAGCCTTTGGCACCCTGCTGGGGCGAGGGCTCATGTGGGGAGGGAGGAGTGGCAGGGATGGAGCCCCAGAGCCAGACACAGTCACTGGCCAGGCAGGGCTGGGCAGAGCACACCCCTGGGGAAGGGCCCCGGAGAGAAGCAGCCCGAGGGAAGGTGTTTGCAAGCACAGATGCGGCCGACAGACATGAGAGCTGGAGGTGATGGGCAAGCTGGGGAGGCTGACTGGGCACCACACTCCCGAGGACCCCTGACCCCATCATCCCTCCCTCCCTCCTGTCACGCACACTGCCCAGCACAGGATGAGCAGCAATCCCCCACCCACCCCTCGGTGCCAGCCTCCCCCCAGCCTGCAGCAGTGATGAGAGCTCGGGTTCCCCCAGCAGGGTCCCCCTCGCAGCCATCACCAGGGCCGGCCCCCGCCCGCCCCGGGGCCGGAGCTCCCTCCACACAGACGCACCGCACCGCACACACAGCGTCACAAACAACCATGCATGAAACTGAAATGCTGCTGGGAGGCTCCAGGGCTGCGCGGGGGCTCCGGGCGGCTGCAGCCCCGCGGCACGCGCGGCTCCGTCCATCGCACACTGACAGTCCCGGGGCAGCCTAGCCGAAAATGCCGCCGAAGGTGGAGGCGATGACGATGCCCAGGATCACACAGCAGATTATGATCATGATCTTCTTCTGCTCAGGTGGCCCAGCAGCAGCAGCAGGGAGAGAGGGGAGAGGAGATGGTGAGTGTTGGGGCAGGGTGACCCAGGAGCTCAGAATTTCAGTCTGTCCTGCTCCCCTTTGCCCGTGGTGAACCCAGGTGTTCAGAATGGCCGTTTGTCCTGCTCCCCTTTGCCCATGGTGGACCCAGGTGTTCAGAATGGCAGTTTGTCCTATTCCCCTTTGCCCGTGGTGGACCCAGGTGTTCAGAATGGCAGTTTGTCCTATTCCCCTTTGCCCATGGTGGACCCAGGTGTTCAGAATGGCAGTTTGTCCTGCTCCCCCTTTGCCCGTGGTGGGCTCTGAGCAGCACCCTGGGAGCCAGAAGAGCACTGGCAGTCCTGGGCAGAGAGGGAGACCCCTGTTCCTGCTTCTGCCCTGAGCTGGCCTCCAGGTCCCCTAAGCTGATACAGGAGCAGGACAGACAGCTGGCACTGTGCTCAGACTCTGACCCAAACCATGACCTTTCCCTATTTTTATTTTGCACAGGCTGTGGCTCTCCCAGTATGTTGCTATCTTATTGCAAAAGCTCCATATTTTCTCGGTGATTTCTCATGGGCAGCTTTGCACAGCACTGACTCTTTCTTCTTCACAGCACAGCCAACAAACTCTAACTCTCTTCCCAACACAACTCAGTCTTTTTCAGCACTCATCTTCACTGGACACAGCTGTGGCCTGTTAAGGGCACCCTTGCTCCTAATTGGTAATTAGTACAGTTGCAACTCCTCAGAGATGAGAGTACTTTCTGCACTATTTTCTTACATTTTATCTTCCCACAACAGCATGCCTGGTCCAGGGGTCCACCCTGTCCCTTTTCCTCCCCCCAAGCAGCACCCCTGCCCTATGGCTCATTGTCAGCTTTCACACAGTCTGTGCTGGGAGATCTGCAAACCCTCAGGACCTGCTGGCTGCTCCAGTGGTGTGAGGAAGTGAGGTCCCTGGGCACCCACAGAGCTGTGCCAGGCTGCCAGGGGCAGGCAAGGAGCCAGCCAGGGCTGTGGCTGGGATGGAGGGGTCAGCAGTGCAGGCAGGGGCAGATGAGCCCCAACCTGAGCCGTGACCTGTAGCATCCCATGAACTGTCCCCCTTGGTCAATCCCTAAACCCTCAGCCTGGAAACATTAACTACTTACCACAGAGTGATCCCTCCCAAAGGGAAAAACAGTCTCCCCATGGACTTGGTGTCACAACTTCCTTGGGTTTCTCCTTGCCCTGTCACTGGCTTGGTACCCCTGGTGGCCATTCCCTACCCCTGGAGACCAGGCCCCTCTGCCCCCCCACCCCTTCCCTTTTATAAGCTGCCTGCTCCACGTGGCTCTCCCTCCTTCCCCAGGTTTGTGCTTCAGTGACAGTGTTACTCTGCTGAAATAAACCCTTGCAAAACAGCCTTTCTTGCCTCTATCTTGAATAGAGGTTTGACTGCATTGCCTGAATGTCAACTCAGCCCTGCCTTTGGACAGGAGAGGCTTGCTGGGGACAGGCAGCAGCACCGACCACTCTAACACTGCATTTTCAGTGACTCACCCGTCTGGCTTTGCTCTGGTACTTCACGGCCTTTTTGGTGTCGGACACCGCCCTCTCCACGTAGTCCACCGAGTGCTCCACGTTGTACTCGATGCGGTCAATCATCTCTCCCTGCAGGGGGACACAGCCCGCCCGGCCGCGCAGAGCTGAGCTCCCTCCTGCTCTGCCGCTGCCTGCCTCCGGGGGGACGCTGCCCTGCCCAGCAGCCCTGCACAGAGAGAACCATCAGCTGCCTGCGGGCACCGCGTGTTTCCTGCCCTGGACTGCATGCCCCGTCCCCGAGCAGCGCTGTGCACAGCCCAGCAGGGAGACGAGCAAGGGTGAGGGACAAGGAGCTCCCAGCCCAGTCCCTCTGCCCAGTATCCCTCTCTATCCAACACGATCTACACCAGCACCACACCACATGCTGCTGGAACAGGAGGCAGGGCAGGAGCAAAGACAGTGCCAGCAGCACCATGGGGGATGCCCAGGAAACCAAAGACGAGCAGGGACCAGGGACCGCCGCTCCCATCGCACATGCACCACACCAAGGGCAGGAGGGTCTGCAGCAAGGCCGGCCAGGACTGAAGAGCCCTACAGGGACCCCTGCCCCGCTCTGTCCCTGCTGCAGGGCTAGGCTGGGACTGGGGGCTCGGACATGCGTTGGGGTGAGCTCCTCCAGCCTTGTTCACCTCCTTTGGCCCCATCCTGACCAGGCAGGCAAACGGCCAGGTCTGAAAGCTGGACAGGGCTGGCAGGAGTGGGAGGTTTGAAGCCCTGTGTCCTCCTGGATGACAGGGAGGGAACTGAGGCCACAGAGCCATGGGCTCATAGCCAGCAACTCTGCAATGCCCAATTCTCAACCTAATGCTGGACAGCACAGGGAGGACAAACCTTGGGGCTCAGGGGTGCTGAGCACTGAGCCCCACCAACTGCTCCCTGTCTTGTGTAAAACTGCAGCTGCTTCTTCCTACCTATGCCAGGGCAGAGCAGAGCTGCCAGCCCTGCTGCCTGGCCAGTGCCCTTCTATTCCCAGTGCCAGCAGCTCTGAGCTTCTCACCCACAGGACAAGGGTGCTGGCACCGTGTCACCCACAGGACAAAGGTGCTGGCACCCTCTCACCCACAGGAAAAGAGTGCTGGCACGGTCCAGCCCTCAGAGCATGGAATCATGGATCCCCACATGTCCCCCCCACTGCAGACAGGACAGGCCACCACCACCATGGTGCCCTGGTGACCATTGGTGTCCTGGTGTCCATCCCAGTGCCATGCAAGCAGCAGCCATGCAGGAGCAGCCATGCAGAGCAGAGCATGCAGCACCAGGGGGCCTTTACCTGCCACCGACGTCTCCTCGGGCCATGGCAGCATGGCAGGCAAGAAGGGGGGTGAGCAATGACACAGGAGCCTGTGCCTGGCTCAAGGGACTGGTGCCAGGGGCTGGCAGCACAGCCCAGGGGCCACCTGAGCTCACCTAGCTGGGCCTGGTGCTCCAGGGAAGGTGAAGGAACCTCCCCCTGCAGGGCAGCCACCCCCTGCCCTCCTCCTGAGCCCCTCACTGAGCCTCCCACCCCACACACACACACAGCACCCAGCCCTGGGGAGCCCAGCTCAGCCCCATGGGAGCCTGGATGTGGTTTTTTCCTCTCAGCACCCACCCAGGCAGGGCAGCACTGTTCTCCAGCCTCCCCACCCAGCACAGGGAGCCCCCATCACCCTCCAACCCCTGCAGGTGAGCCCTGGGCTGCAGCTTTTCCCCACCTGGCTCTCCACCAGCATGGCCATGTCCATGAACATGTCGTGCAGCTCTCGGATGCTGTTCTCCAGCTTGATGATCTCGCTGTGCCGTGTCTCAATCTCGTTCAGAGCCTGCTTGGTGATGTTTGAATCCATGATGATCTGCAGACAAAACAAGGCCACTGAGCACCATGCTGACACCCAGCTCCAGTGGGTCTGAGCACCAAGACACAGACTGGGACTGGGGGCACCAAGAGAGGGATGAGCAGGGGCTGCAGGGCCCCTCCAACCACCCCCAGCCAGGCAGTTTGCAGCAGGGCTGGGATTTAAACAGCTCCAGCAGATCCTCAGGCCAGACCTGAGCCCCCAGGCTCCCTTCCTGCATGGGCTGTGTTCATTACTGGTACTGAGGCCCCCGTGGCAGCACATGCAGCAGCCACCCCTGCTGCTGGGGCTGGCTCAGCTGCAGCTGGGGCAGAGCTTACCCCAGAGGAGAAGATGGCCGGGTTGCCACTCTCCAGCATGTCCTCCAGCTCCTCGCTGGTGGTGGTCCTGCCAGCTGCAACAAACAACACAGGTCAGCCAAGGGCCCCCTGAACCCACCACAGGTCCCACAGGTTCCAAGGAAATTCCCCCACGAGTGGAACAGAGCAGAGCTTCCAGCCCCAGGAGCACACAGGGCTGTTTGGGGGATGCTCTCTCACAACCTTGTCACAGACATCTTTTATGGAAAATCATTTCCTTAGGATTTTTCCTCCTGAGAAGCTGGGAGGCCTCAAGAAAAAAATGTCAACAATGGTTATCTGCTGCTGTGGAATGCAACAGGTGCATCTGTGATTGGCCAAGGTTGGTTGTTCCTAATTAATGGCCAATCACAGTCAGCTGGCTCAGACACAGAGCTGAGCCACAAACCTTTGTTATCATTCCTTCCTATTCTATTCTTAGCTAGCCTTCTGATGAAACCTTTTCTTCTATTCTTTTAGTATAGTTACAATGTAATATATATCACAAAATAATAAATCAAGCCTTCTGAAACATGGAGTCAGATCCTCAACAAGACAAAGAGCCCAGAGCATGGAGGAGCAAAGTGAGCCCGAAGGTGGCAGGGAGAGAACAGAGAGAGGCAGTGCCCAGGTCACTGCAAACTCTGGGATAGGTGAATGTGAAACCACTGAGGAGACTTCAAGGCGCATCCTTGGCCCTGGAATGGCCAGCTGGACAGACTGACCATCCCCAGTGACCATCTCCCAGGCATGGGGCAGGAGCAGCCCTGCCAGGGTGTGGGGGAAGCTCCCAGGGAAGCCTCTGGTGCCACAGCTCAGTCCCACAGCCCAGCTGACACTGGATGGCAGTCTGTCCAACCCTGCATGCAGATGTCTATAAATAGGGAATTAGCTCAGGGCTGAAGGAGTCCAATGGTCCATGGCCAAATGAGGGCTCAGCTGGGCTCTCCAGCATCCCTGCACAGGCACCTGCAGAGCCACAGCTGGGGCTCACACTGAGCACCTTCCCCAGCCTGGAGCTGGCTTTTCAACACTACAGACACAAATCCATACAGTTCATGGAGAGATGGGTGTGTGAGGTGACAGGGACAATCTGGCCCACCTGGCTGTCACCCAGCTCAGTTCTGGCCCTGCCCAGGCTGGTATCAGGATGAGGATCCAGCCACACAACCCTGCACACTGCACGCTCTCAGAGCTGCTCTGGGTGGGCAGGGTGATGCTGATGGTTACACAGCACAGACACAGCAGTGCCCACACAAGGAGAAGGGAACAGATCCTGAGGGGGCTGTGGGGAGCCCCAGGGGGTGGCTGCAGCCCAGGGCAGGGACTCCACATCACCAACTCTGCCACTGTGCTACTTGCAGAGCCAGGCGTGGTGAGGATGGAGAAACTTGCTGGTGCTGGGGAGCCTGCCCAGAGCACCTGAGCAGTTCCTGCTCTCACACTGAAAACCCAAGTGATTTACTGGCTTTACTGTCAGAGCTCCCAGCACTGAGGATGTTGTGGAGATCTGTGCAGGCACATCCCAGCTGAGCTGTCCCCCAGAGCCTGTGCAGGAGCAGCTCTCTCCAGGCCAAGCAGAGCCCCTGCCCAGGCAGCACTCCTGGTAAAACATCCATAAGCTGTTCCTTGATGTCGCCCTGGTTTTTTAAGATTTTCTAAGCCTTCAGATGTTGACATTCTTGTAGTGAATTCTCTCACACACTTTCTGTAAATAACTCATTATTTTGCATTCCTTTATGGAGGAGGAGAAAGTTGATAGACTGTTGGTCTGTCCAGTGTCATTGGAGAGGTGGCACTGTCACCCTCCAATCCACTGTCACTCTTGGAAAACTAAAAATGTTGGAGTCAGAAAATAAACTTCCCTTTTTCCTTCCCCTTGAGAGCAGCGGTGTGTGCTTTTGTTCTTTCATGTCCTATAGTGACACCTTTGGATGAGTCTTTTTGCCAGGAAATCTTTTCCACTGTCCTGATGAGGGAATCCAGCTCTGGCACAGGGCTGTGCACAGGGCTGTGTCCTTCCCCAGCTCAGCTCTGCACCTCTTCTGCAGCAATGAGAAATGCACTTACCTATACCCACACTCCTCCACAGCTCCATCCTGAAGGGAACAGGAGTCCCTTGGTGTCAGGAACAGGGACACCTCTCCCAGAGCACACACTGCTCCATGGGGCTTCTGAGCTGCCCTGTCCCTGCACCCAGCAGGCTCTGGCAGGCACTGACAGCCTGGCAGGATGGACAGGGCAGACACAAGAACAACTGTCACAGACATCTTTTATGGAAAATCCTTTCCTTAGGATTTTACTCCTGAGAAGCTGAGAGGCCTCAGGAACAAAATGTAAACATTGATTTGCTGCTGTGGAATGCAACAGGTGCATCTGGGATTGGTCTCATATGCTTGTTTGTAATTAATGGCCAATCACAGTCAGCTGGCTCGGACAGAGAGCCTGAGCCACAAACCTTTGTTATCATTCTTTGCTATTCTATTCTTAGCCAGCCTTCTGATGAAATCCTTTCTTCTATTCTTTTAGTATAGTTTTAATGTAATATATATCATAAAATAATAAATCAAGCCTTCTGAAACATGGAGTCAGATCCTCATCTCTTCCCTCAACCTGAGACCCCTGTGAACACCATAACAAACAACAATATATCTCCAGGATTGAAGCAGAGCAGCAGAGCCCTCCCAAAATTCAGCAGGAAAACAAGACGGAGGCTTCTTTCAGGTCTGCATCCAGTCAAGGACAAGGCTGAGTCCTTCCAAGCCTCCTCTCTCAAAGGGAGGCACAGGGATACCTTAAACTCCTGTTCACATGACAAGGCACTCCTGAGCTGTCACTGCAGGGTGATGGTGGCTGAGGGATGAGTCAGGCAGCTGGAGCAGTGACACATCCAGCTTTACAGCAAACTGGCAAGCTCTTGTTGAGCCCAATGTCAGCCAGCCTTCCCATGCAGCCCTGGGAGTACCAGGCATCACAAAGACTCATCTGAACAAAGATTAGGGCTTGCACAGCTGTGTGTCCTTCCAGCCCTCCACAGAAATTCCCACAGCACCCAGATTCCCAGAATAATTCCCACAGGTGACCACCAAGGACATCAGGCTGACTCACAGATCTCCTGTCATTGTTCACAGTGAGTTGCTGGAGGAGATAAAAAACATCCATGTGGTTCTTAGGAAAAAAAATTACTAAATTCAGAGCCTTCCATTCTGAGCACAAACCCCACAACATGCCTGACACTGAGATTATTTGCAAAAATGTCCTTTAATTTCTGCATGGCCTGCCTTCCCCCTTGAGTATTCCCCTGATTACATGGTGGTTCTTTGCTGGGAGATCACTCCTTGGCTCTAAACCATCCAGGAACCACTGGCTGCCCAGAAGGACCATCAGGAGAGTGTTTCTAGAGAGGCAGGACTGGACTGCTCCCAAGGGATGGGCTCTGGATGGCTCAGAGATCCCAGTGTCACCTGGGTGAGGTGCCACAGCCCCACAGGTGTCACCTGAGGTCCCCCCTTGGCCACAACACAATGGCTGCTAAGAGCCATCAGTCCTGGGCCCAGAGAGGCAGCACTGAGGCTCCTGCTCCTCCCGTGCAAGGGAGGCCATCAGGAGCAGGGAGTGCTCCCATCCCAAGAATTCCCTTCCCTGTTTCCATGTTTAGCTAAGTTCATCCATGAAGAGCACCCCGAGGAAAGACAAGCACCCACAGGAATCAGGAATTCCTGTGAGCTTCTTTGAATAAAAATTAGCTGCCAACACAGAAGGAATCCCTTTCCTTGTGATCCTTGTGCTCTCTCTGCAGCATTTTGGGATGTAATTTGCTGGATACATGCTGCCACAGGAACTCAAGGTCCCACCCCACAGAAGCCGTTCTCCAGCCACTCCCAGCGCCTCCTGTGCATCCCAGGAGCTCTGCCCAGCTGTGGGAATGTCACCCTGATTTTATGAGCTTTTCTAAGCTTTCTGATGTTGACATTCTTGTAACAAACTTTCTCACACACTTTCTGTAAATAACTTATTGTTTTACATTCTTTTATGGAGGAAGAGAAATTTGATGGATTGTTGGTTTGTCCAGTGTCATTGGAGAGGTGGCACTGTCACCCTCCAATTCACTGTCACTTTTGGAAAACTATAAATGTTGGAGTCAGCAGAAAAACTTCCC